GCAAGACTCGATGAGCTACAATGGGAAGATTTAGAAGAAGATGTTGGTCCAAGTGATAAAGGAAAGAGGCTAAGGATTGACTAGTTTTGTTGAAGTTTGTTTAATGTTTATTACTTTATTTCCTGTTTTGTTGAAGTTGTTGCTGGAATCCTTAAACTTTGTTTACTGGTTTATATTTTTTATTGTTGTCCCAAACATTGTTAAGTTTGTTTAATGTTATTGAAGTTATTGAAGTTAATTGTTTAATATTATACTTGTATTATATTTATACTTAGTAAATTTAATATGTTTATGGTTCACCGTACCATATATAATTGGTACAGCGTACCGCGTACCGAAATCGCGTACTGAAGAAGCCTACCCCCACGTATCGGATTTCTAATTTTGGCGATCCGCGTTCCCGTTTTCGTACCGCGTACCGAAGCGTACCGCGATCCATGTGACTATGCTTGAACCTCCATTAACTTGCGTTCCACATTATCCATACGAATATCCATTTTTGCTCTCGTACGAACCATTCACCACGAGAAACGAAAATGCAACTCAAATTCGCTGCCCAGGAGCTTCGCTCTGATACCAATGATAGATCTCTGGTAATCGCTAGCTCAAAACAGTATAGAATCAATAGGAAATGAAGAAGAAAAGATCGAAAATTCTTATTATCACGGATGAACTGAACAAAGAGGGATACAGTAGCCTTGGACGATTCGAGATGTCCAGTCTCCCAGCCTATTTCCAACCGAATACTTCCCCCTTATTTAGCTGACTCTCCTTCTATTTATAGTCCATATCCACGCAGGGATAGAATAACTATTAACTATTTAATTTACTAATAATAGACTTTGTATTCCTTCTATTAAACTCTTTATTAAAATATTGAATAGGCCCACTTATTATTTATTCATATCACAAGTCTGTCAAGTCAGATTCGGGAATCAATATTTTCAAGATTCTGCAGGCATGTGACACTGATGCTTGTGTGGCAAAGTCCACGATGACTTCTAGGTTCGTACAGGAGATGAACTTGCCTAATGTTTTAGTCTGAAATGGTGTACTATCTATCATTCAAATTTACTTTGGAAGGGCTGAAGTCATTGAACAAGTTTGATAGTTTCATATATGAGGGTGTTACTTCTATGATGGATAATCAAAAAGGGTTAGAAGGAGGATTTACTGGGAATATTGCAGAATATGAGGGATATGTTACTGGTGTTGAAGTTGACATGTATCGGATGTTTGTTAAGGGGTGTGTTGATTTTGTTGAAAGTGAGGACCATCTTTTGATTCTTGGAGTTGAAGGGTCAAGGGTGCAAATGGGTACTTTCTGCAAATTGGGACTTCTTTGATTCCGGATTAAGATGGGATGATGAATTTGATCTTGGATACCTGATGTGTAGAATCAGTGTGGACTTGGAAATTGCTATTCAGACTGCTGTTAATGGACTAGAAGCTGAAGCAAATTTCCAACCTTACAAAATGGTCTTAGGTTCCAATAATCCAGAAGTGAATTGTTCCAGTAGTGTTCTTTCTCCACTTGCCGGGAACTATACTTGCCGGGAAAAATAGTTATGACTTTTTTTTCTCCACTTGGGCAAATAATGTTGGATGCCTACCCAGTCAGGGAAGCAAAGAGGTTTCGGGAATCCTTCTCCAATTGGCTGTTTAGAAAACTGTTTACACACGCATCAGGAATTCGTTCCTCTGTTTCGGTGGTGGAAGATCTCAAGAAAAATACTTGGCTTAAGGCTGAATTGTTGGAAGCTAACAAGAGGAATGGGTTTCTCTTTGGAAAATATTTGGAGGTAGTAGATACTTATGCTATAGGCATTGATGATATAGAGCAGATTCACATGACTCACATTTCAGTTTGTAGAAATAATGTGAATGGCATGGAGAGTGTTAGTACTAGTACAGCAATAACAGCTCTACACTCCGCCACTAATTCTTTGAGTGTTGTTGTTGGTAAAGACACTGGCCAATTTTACTATTACAGGCTTAGCTCTGGCCCTGAGAAAACAACATTACACTTGATCAATGAACCCCACACTGAAGTTTCTTTTGTCCCAAGTGGTGATGGGTATCAATGCGCAGCTCTCTCTTCGCTTTACAACTCCCCAGTATGCATCCGGCAGTACATGGCATCATGATCTAAATTGGTTGTGATGTTTGTAAGCTGTCAGGCATCTTTGGGTATTCATCAAATTTCTGAGAAATGGGAAGGTGAAACCTCATGTCAAATTAGGGAATGACTTGCTTTGTGCTTGATAGAACTATGCCAGCCAGTACATCCGGAGAAGGAAATTGAAGAGAAAGATCCAACAGCACAATCTGGTCATAAGGAACAAAACAATTACAAAGATCCCAACAATCCGTGTGTTCTCCAAACAATAAAGTTCATGGTCCCACAATCAGTTAGGTACTGGGAAGGGAGAGGCGCCAGGATGAAGATAAAGTTGAAGGTCAAGTCGGTTTCCTATCACCCACCTTGAGGACAAGGTTGTTGTTCAAGGAGGGAGATATGATAGGACTCTGGGCAGATTAGGACTGATAATAATGAGAATAATAATAACATTAGAAGAGTTAGTATAAATAGAAGGGGGGAATTGTTATTTGGATTTTGGGCTTGGGACTTGGAGAGTGGGCGCTCTTAAACTGCCTTTGTATCTCTCTACATTTTTTGTTATACGGCACTTTCAGTTCATACACATCTCTTTTCTTCATCTGGTTTCTTGAAATTCATTGTGAATTAGCTAGGTACCTAACATAAGAGCGACCCCCTCTCTTGGCTCAAACGTTGAGAGCATTTCTTTTCCAACAAAGGACATCTCCAGACGCTTCGGCCCCCTTGCAGCGCAATCCAGAAGGCGATCTTGCCAAATTGGTCCAAACAACTGATTTGAAATCATACATTGAATATTTTCAGCAATTATTGACACACACGAGTGGCATATCAGTACACATGCAGGTGAATGCAAATTTGTGTCCCAACCGCGACACAAACAATGGCTGGACACATCCAATATGCCACTAAGTCAACAATCCCTGCATCCCTACCATTCTCTCTGCCCTGTGGATGCAAAGTGGAGGGCGCATGTACGTGTGGATGATTGATCTATTTTCTTCCTTTTCTCTTTCTTTCTTTCTTTCTTTCTTTCATCTTTTATTTTATTTATCATTCTATGTTCTTATGTTATTTTCATCTTTTATTTTTCTTATGTCCTTTATTTCTTTTCTCTTTTATGCGCCCTCCACTTTGCACCCCCCTCTGAAAGACAACTCTATGACTCTGGAACGTGCTGCCATCCTCCGCAGCCGTTTGAATCGCGGCCAGTTGGAGCTGGAAGGGACAGTCAGCAGAGGAAGCATCCTCGGAACCTATTGAGGCATTTCACGCAGCGTACCCTATATTCGAGTTTGAGGACAAGCTTGTGGTCCACCGGGGGAGTGATGAAATGGATGCATTCTGGGGTCGTGCCTATCAGCGACGACAATTGGGCCATAGAGGCACAATCAGTGCAAGTGAGACCCAAGCAGAACCTGTAACCCTGGAGACTAAAAGTGGCTAACTTGAGCAGGAAGATTATTTATTACAATTTGTTATTAGTTTCCTAATCAGACTACTATTGTTATTTCCTCTTCCAGTTTTAGGTAGTTTCTTCTTATCATTATGTCCTATTAGAATTAGGGGTCTGATGATAGCTATAGAAGGGACCCTAGTATTGATTAATAAGTGACTTTTGGAAGAATTAATTGCGGTGGGTCTTGACTAGGTCAGACACCAAATTAATTCCAATAAAGCATTATTATTTGGGGGAATTTGACTTTGCACCCCACTTTTTGGGTGATATTGGACTTTGCACCCCATTTTGAAAAAACTTTGATTTTGCACCCCATTTCACTTAAAATTCCTTTGACTTTGCACCCCATTTAGAAATTTTTCTTCACAAAATGGTATGCGTTGGGGTGCAAAGTCAAAGTTTTTTGAAAATGGGGTGCAAAGTCCAATATCACCCAAAAAGTGGGGTGCAAAGTCCAATATCACCCAAAAAGTGGGGTGCAAAGTCAAATTCCCCCTTATTATTTTTGTTTCTCTTCTTGTGCTCATAATAGATGCAAAAATTGATCTTTCTCTTTGCCCTAGTTCGCTTCCATTCTCTCGTTCTCGACCTTGGACGAGGTCTTGTTCGGGCGCTCTTAATAGTCCCTTGCAATATTGTGAGATTATTGTGGGTCAAAGGTGAAAGTGGCCTGGAAAAACAAGCAGTAATAAGAACGAATGGGTTTTGTTTGTTTAGTGCAGAAGCAGAGCCTGCAGAATTGAATGCTTTTATACGGAGTAGAAAGGTAGAATTTTTATTGTATCAAAATAAAGTACGACAGATTGCTTTTATAGGCTAAAACAAACCTAATTAAGGAAATAAGAAAGTTGTACAAATCTGTGATACTATGAAATCAAATCACAATAAAAACAGATCTCTAATAGATCTCTTACAATTAACTAAATATTCTATTGTTATAACACAACACTAATTTCTATTTTACCTTGCCAAACTAAGATTTTCTCCATCTGATAATAAGATGAAGAGCATTTCACTTACTAAAAAATCATGAGAAATTTATAGGCTCCACCAATCACCATTAGACGTTTGTAAGTGTTTCAATACCCAGTAACTATAAGGCTCTCTTTTAGATACATATATCCCTTTTAAAGTTTAGACAAACATGAACATGTTAGAAATGACATACTATAGATAGATTGAAGTTGCCTTGGATTCAATAAAAGCTACCATAGTTTTCAGATGTTTGTAGTTGTCTCTTTGATGAATACAGAGATCCGTACAGTCATTAAGTTATTTGTGTTGACCTATGGTCCTATGCTTGACATCACTAGGGAAGCATCCCTAGTGTCATTCTCTATCCACTAAACTATTGATTTATGTATACTATGTATTTTGTCCTCAAAGACATCTGACTGTTTTAACTTTGAGAATATTCTCCAGACGCTGATGTAAGACTTGCGCGACGAATAAGGCGTGATGTTGCTGACCGGGGTAGAGATATAATCTCAGTTCTTGAGCAGGCGAGCTTTAACTTACTCAAGTATCAACTTTTAAAGTTTAAATTAGAGGCCACATGTAGTGAAGCTGTTTGCCTTTGCAATATTTAAACAAATGCATTGTTTGTAATTGCGCAATGCAATTGCGCCTCATGGCGCGCCTCAGCTAATTCCTAGACTGTGGCGTAAAAGGCATTGCATATGGCGTTGGGAGTGTGGCGTACGCAATATTGCACTGAGGCGTACGCAATATTGCATACGCAATAAGGCGCTCTGAGGCGTATGCAATAGGAGAAGGTCAGGGTGTAAGGGTATTATTTGGGCCCACCCGGCCCACTTTTAAATTTTTATAATTGATGTAATGATCCCTATTTCAAACCACTAGTTATTGATTGGATTTTTTCAGTCAATCAATCTAATTAATTTAAATTCTCATATCTTAGATTTTTTTAAACGATTCAGAAAGTTTTGGTATTCTATAGTACTTTGAAGTTTGAACATATTACTTTGCTAGGACTATGGCCTCTTATGGTTTGTTTTAATATAAGTATATAACATTTGAAGACTTTTGACAAATATGTTTATTATATATATATATATATATGTATATATATATATGTGTGTATATATATATATATATATATATATATATATATATATATATATATTACGCCTCAGGCATATGCCTCGTTGCGCAATGAGGCTTAAGCAATATGCAATATTTAAAAAAATGCCACGACTACGCAATACGCAATTTTGAACCTTGAACAAATGCAACATACAAGTTGACATGTTGTCACATGCTCCAAATCCAAATTAACTTTTTCCATCAAATGAGCATTCCTGTGCCAATTTGGAACCAGTTAATCTGGACTTGATGCTGATAGAGTTTCTTAGTCATCTGCTAATCATACACTATTTAAAAACTCCGTCCATCCCAAAAAGATTGTCAAGAAAAACTTTCCTATTTCATATCACAGAGCTTATTTGTCTAACAAAAGTTGCAAGCAAGATCAATATGATCGACTCTGTTTTTTGTAATATCTAAGAAATATAACTCCATGACTAGTAAGATTTGTACCTTGACCAAACAAGTTTTTTTTGCTGGGGGGCATCACATTTAAAAGTGCAAGGAGCCAAGGATGCAGATAACTTCCATCATAGAACCTTTGGTTTTGTGATTCTGCTTTAGTACATGACGCAAGAGAATCATTGTTAGTAATTGTTACTATAGCAAACCTTACATGTATCCTTTTCTTCTGCAGTATGCAAAATTTGTCAAGCCTGCTTTTGATGATTTTGTTCTCCCTTCAAAGAAATATGCCGATGTTATCATACCCAGGGGTGGTGACAACCATGTTGCTGTTGATTTAATTGTGCAGCATATTATGACAAAGCTTGGCCAGCATGATCTCTGCAAAATATATCCTAATGTATATGTTATTCAGTCAACTTTCCAGGTATGTTTGGAGCCAATTGTTTTGGTAATGCTTATATGCCTTTAACATTAGGAGCCGAAGGTAGTGGATAATCAAAATAAAGATAATGTTATCTTTGGGAGAATA